CGGAGAAGTGGTGCCTCGGGGCGCGCCCAGGATCCGAACCCGGGCCGCCAGCATCAGAGCGCACGCACTTAACCGCTAAGCCACGGAGCCGGCCCCATGGTTGTTTTCTAATTCGCATCCTGATGCCTTTGTTTTGTTAGCTCCTGGTTAAGAGGTTGTGTGTGTGCATGTGTGTGTATTGATCAGCAACTTCCCATTTATAACATGAGACTGAAGAAGAAAGATCAGAGGATGTCATACAAATAAATCCTTTATCAGAAACCAAGGAACATCAGAGAGTAGTTTAAGTTACCTGTTTAAAAGTAAAGAGGTTTTCATGTTTTTTTTGGGATATCAAAGCTTATTTCTCAAATAACTTCTTTCCTTCACTAGCTTGGGTAGCTCTGGTTGTTTTGTAAGAACCTTATTTTTGAGCTTTGAACGGATAATTTGGGAAAAGCTATTGGCATAAAAATAATTTAGGTACGTTCTAGCTAGCTTCTATATAGACATGTAGCCCATGGAATACTGTACTAGACCCAGCTTAACTTTAATCAGAGTAATCACAGGGAGGACTCAGAATTTTTGCTGTATCTTGAGGAATGATAATCATAAAGTGTGGGAATAATTCTTCTCTTTGGTTGATATAATTAGATATCAGTTAGCAGAAAGAGTAGATCAGACTTGGAATACACCACCAGAATCTGTAACAAAATTGGAGAACTATTAAATATGTTTCTTTTTCTGATGACATGATTTTACATGGTGAAATTTTGCGTAAGTAACTTTTTGGCTAACAAGCTCTATGGTGTTGAATTCATGGCTAGTAGGAAAGATATTTTTAATAAAAACATTATAGTTTGCTGATTTCCAAAGGTAGATTTTTATGTTATGTTTGCAAAGGTTTTTAAATTTATCAGTGCCTTATAGGCATCTCCAGATAGCAGTTAATTTGTGCAGTTCTTAGATTAAACTTTCAGTCCTGAGACTGATGATTACTTTATTAAAGATAGGATAGGACAGGTTTGGATATAAAACCTTAATTTCTTTCAATATCAGGAAGTCTTCTGTAGTTTCAGAATTATTTTTCTTTTTCTGTTTATTGTGCTTAGAAATACTGACTGGAGATGGAGAAAGCTGGGTTTTGAACCAAAGACTCAGTTCAGATTTGGGCACCTTTCATTCATACTCCTCTGTTCCACAGACTAGAGCTCTGCAGGGGTTTGTCTGTGCATGTGTGTGTGTGTTTGTGTGTGTGTGTGTTTGTGTGTGTGTGTGAGGGAGAGGGAGAGGAGGGAGAGAGAGAAAGTGATGTAGGTGAGGTGGGCACAAAAATGCTTAGGGATGGAATGACACTTTTTAAATCATTGCACAATGTCTGAGGTTATAAACCATAAATCAATATATTTAAAAGTCTAAGAATAGTTTTCTTTCATGTTTACAATGTTATCTTCTCTTTTTGCACTGACATCATTTGTTTTTGTTTTTCTTTTTTTAGTTCATCATACATTATGATTGAAAATCACACAATTTATGGCAGGGAACACAGTGAAATTTATAATGTGACAATGTGATAATAGCCAATACAAAATATGCCAGCCATCCTCTGTAATTAGGTTCATTTGTGTTCTTAAAACTTGAGATGCATGTATAAAAATATCATTTCCTTCTGCCTGCTTACTGGCAATCTGGTGCATTTTCTACATTGTCACAAACTGAAGCAGTGTTATGCTTTCTAGTCAGGATTTGGTAAGATTTATCTTGCTTATTGAAGCCTATCAAAATATATTCAGATATTTTCCAAAGGAAACATATCAATTTTCATATGAACCGATTGGCAAGAAATGATGCTAGGTTGCAGTATAAATACTCAGTTGTCTTTCTTAATTATAACTTTTATAATTAGAACATAGACAATCTATAGGGCCTTACAGCTTTTACAATTTAAAAAAAAAACACTTTCCCAGATCTTTTTTTTCTTTTTGTTTTTTTTTTTTGGTCTTAATATTCCCCCAATCCTCATACCTTTTACCTTTTATTTTCTTTTTTCCTTTTTTATTGTGGAGGGCCTCCAGTACTATGTTGAATAGCAGTGGTAATAGCAAGCATTCTTGTCTTGTTCTTGATTCTAAAGAGAATGCATCTAAATTTTCTCCATTGTGATGTAGATTTTGGGAGATATCCTTTATCAGCTTGAGGGAGTTAAAACATTCTAAATTTGAATAAACGATTCCTGTGTAGTTTTCTTGCACCTAGTGTTTCCAGTAATCCTCCCGTATCCATCTGATTGTTTTCTTCTGTGGGTGGGCTACCTTTTCTCTCCAGAAAGTTTTATCTTCTCTTTGTCTTTGAGGTTTTTAAATTTCACAATAATGTGTCTAAGTATTGTTTTATTATCATATGTTCTGTTTTGCATTCTGTGATTCCTTTCAATCTGAAAGGGATCTTTAATTCTGGAAATTTCTTGATCATTATTTTTTATTTTTTTATTGTATTTATTAATTTTTTTTTTGGTGAGTAAGTTTGGCCCTGAACTAACATCTGTGCCCGTCTTCCTCTATTTTGTATGTGAGATGCCACCACAGCATGGCTGGATGAGTGGTGTCTAGGTTCACACCCAGGATCCAAACCTTCGAACCCCAGGCCGCTGAAGCAGAGCATGCGAATTTAACCACTATGCCACCGGGCCAGCCCCAATCATTATTTTTTTAAAAAACATTTCTTCGTTTATTTTTCTCTGTCTTTCTGGAGTTCATGCTACACCTCTGTCTGCTATATTTCTTACCTTTTCACATATGTATTTTTACATTGCTCCCTAATCCTGTGTGTTTTGAATTATCCTTTTTTTTCTTTCAGCTTTATTGAGAGATAATCTTATTATAGATTATTTTGATCTAATTCTTACTAATCTTTTTCATTGGAGCTGACTAGCTCACTTTTTTTTTCCCCTAACCAGAGGGCTAATTTTAAAGGACAAATAATCAGCAGAATCAACTATAATCACAAAACAAATAGTACTACAATGATTAGGAAACATAGAGAACCAGTTAAAGTAAACATGGTAAGATGGGAAAAAGCAACTGAAACAAACTTATTCAGAAACCAGCAATAATCCTTAAGATTGAGAAACTTGAGCCAGACTAAAGCAAGTGATTTAAAGAGGTGGCCTAAAAGAGTAAAATAAGAAGAGATGAATTTGGGAAATTGCAAATTGATTTGGGAGATTGCAAATAGGATATATGAATTAACCAGACTGAGGTGAACCATGTTTGTTTCATTGTAACTAAGGAACAGATGTATAAAATGATAAGATGCTCAGTTGATGAACTGATAGAAAAAGGAAAAACACTTTGAATCTGGGATAGTGAGGAATTTCTTAATCCAAAGTATAACCATTTTTTGCTACAAAAATAGCTACTCTTGTCTGAGAACATGCCATATGCTACACATGTGAGATACTTTACGAGATACTTTATGCATACATACCTGTAAAACTTAAAACAGCACTGCAAGTTGGTACTATTATCCCATTTTACAAAATAAGCTAAAGCTGAGAGAAGTCCCTGTTCAGAGCCTTAAAGCTAGTAAGTTTGACCTAATACCATAATATTCTGTTTATCCAGAGGATAGACTTTCAGTAGCCTTAACTTTCTAGAAAACAGTGAAAAGAGGTAGTAAAACTAATACCTTTTTGAAACCTCTAGGTCGCTTCTAAGAAGGGAGGAAAGGAACTATTCACAAATGTTGCGTTAAGAAAAGTGAGTATTTGGAGACCTGCATGTCCTTATTTGGCTCAATGTGTTCAGTTTTAAGAACAAATTAGATGTAAGGAGAGAGGAAGACAAGAAATAAAAAAATAAAATATATCAGTCTGGACCAGTAAACAGGGGAAACCAAAAACAGCCCTGTGTTCTTCATTAGTTCCTAAGGATATCAGTGCATTGTTGTACAGTACAATAATCGATAGTAGTAACATAGTCAAGGGTTAGTCTATTTCCAGTAGATTTCCAGTTAAGTCAATTAAAATAGAAGTTTTGGTTCTTAAAACGTTGGTCAAGCTTTTGTTAATTGGAAAATGTGCTTTTATGGAACCCTCTCATTTCACAGCCTTGCAGTTAGTTCTATCATTGAAAAACTTAGGCTCAGAAGGACCCAGAGTAGTCCAAACATTCTTGAAAAAGAAAAATATAACTGGTAGACTTAAATTACTGAGATAGTAAGATTTTTATTAAGACCATGTGGTATTAATGTGAGGATAGACAAAAATAGACCAATGGAACAGAATAGAGAATCTAGAAATAGAATCACATATGTATAATCACCTGATTTAGAAAGGTGATAATCGAGTCTGATGGAGAAAGGCTGGTCTGTTAAAGTCATGTTGCTAGAACGATTGGATAGCTCCTTGGGAAAAAGTATATTTTGACTCTTACCTCACATCATACACAAAGCTCAATTTCAGATAAAAATATGAAAGGTAAAAAAAGTCATAAAGCTTTTAGAAGAAAATACAGGAGAACATCTTCAAGTAAGATGCTGGCAAGGACACAAACCCTAAATGTAAAGGAAAAAAATGGGTAAATTAGACTATATTAAGAACTGTTCATTGAAAGTTACCATTAAGAAAGTGAAAAGGCAACCACAGAGTTGGAGAATATACTTAAAATATACATATCTAATAAAGAACTCATATCCAGAATGTTGTAAAATACTGTAACAAATTAATGAGAAAAAGACAAACAACCTGATAGAAAAATGAGCAAAAGACTTGAACAGATACTTCGCTGGATATGAAATAGAGGGTATCTAAGTGGCTAATTAACATCAAAAGCCACAACTTCATTAATTATCAAGGAAAACAGATTAAAACCAGTGCAATACCCCATACACCCACCAGAATGGCTAAAATGAACAAGACAAAAAAGACCCGAGTTTGGCAAGGCTATGGAGCAATAGAACCCTTGTTCACAGCTGGTGGGAGTGTAAATTGGTATAATCACTTTGAAAAGCTAACCGGCGTTATCTCTGGTTGAATATATGCATACCCTATGACCTAGCAGTTTCAGAGCCCTTGGGGCACAGGCAGACTAGTACTGGAAGGTGCACAAGGGGGGCTCCTGGGATGCACGTAGCCTTCTGTTTCTTGATGTTGGTGCTGATTTCATGGGTGTGTTCGCTTTGTGACAATTCATCCAGCTCTACCCTTAGGATTTATGTGCTTTTCTGTGTGTATGCTATGTTTCGAGAAAAAGTTAAGCATACATGCTGAGAAGTGACTAATCTTTAGCTTTAGATGCCTGCTACTGGCTATTAAAGAGGAGAACTTTTTTAGATAGAAAATCACTCATTATATAGAGTTTAGGAAAAGAAATTTTTAGCATAAGACATATTCAAGAAGACTGTACATTTGCATAAAAATATTTTTACTGGAAGAAAAGATATTTTGTATCCTAGATGTTAGACTCCCTCATCTTGTTCTTACTAGAAAACTTTTTGGTTATTTGATTTGTGAAGTTGGGCCATAAACCTACATGAGGACCAGTTTAGTTTATAATTACAAAATCTCACGTGACATTTCCCCTCTCTAGATCAGCCTCAGGGATTTTTTCTTTTCTTTCTTAATTATTTTTCCCCCATTCTTAGAGTGAGTAGGATGATGGGTGGTGGTAGAGGTGGTGATTTGGATTTTGAGGGCAGGGATTGGTAAACCGTGGCGTATAGGCCAAACCAAACAATGAAAGTTTTGCTTATTGGAACACAGCAATACTCATTCACTTACATGTTGTCTGTGGCTGTTTTTAGCTACAATCACAGAATTGAGTAGTTGTGACAGAGACTGCATAACCTGTAAAGGCTAAAATATTTACTATCTATCTGGCCTTTTACAGAAAAGTTTTGCCACACCATGTTCTAGATCACCTATTTCTAGACTTTTCATTCATGTGAACCCTGTGATTTAAGAGCCTTTGCTGTTCAATATGGTAGTCACTGGCTATATGTAGCTATTCCAATTTAAATTAATAAGTAAAAATTAAAAACTCAGGTCATTTATATTAGCCACATTTCAAGTGTTCAGTAGCTATATGTGGCTAGTAGCAACAGTATTGGACAACACAGATGTGCAACATGTCCATCATCCAGAAAATTCTCTCCTACAGCCCTGATTAAGTCACTTGGTTTCTTTACTGTCTCCTTCATTGATAATCCCTGCTGATGTGCAGTTTCTTTCATCTGGACTTATTTTCTCCTTTTTCTGTCTTTGTAATTTCTTTCCATCCTCTAAGACTAAGTTTGAATCCAGTTTATTTAAATATTAAATATATTAATGTTTCGCCATTTTGTGTATGTCTTATTTAGTTCACCAGGAAGATTATAAGATATTTAAAGGCAAGGACTATGTTCTGTTGCTTTTAGTGCCTTGTACATGTCTTTGTTACTGTTGTTTTAATATATACTGGATCTCCCTAAATAGTGTAAAATTATTTCATTGTTTTTCCTCTTAGGTATAACAAACTGTAAACTTAAAAAAAAAAGCAAAGATGGGTGAAAAGAAACCAGAGCCTTTGGATTTTGTGAAAGATTTCCAGGAATACCTGACTCAGCAGACCCATCACGTGAACATGATTTCTGGATCAGTTAGTGGGGACAAAGAAGCAGAGGCTCTTCAGGGAGGTAGGCTCATCTTAATACTATGAAATAATTCACTTTTCAGAAATATGTTAATGTTTAGGTATAGTTATCCGTATTACGAAGGCCACTATTCACTAATGTGAATCATTCCATTTTTTCCTAGAAAGATACAGGGCAATTTTTTCCCCTTCTCTAAACATGTCAGATTTTCGCTGAGGGAGAGTGAAGCTCCCCGAGGACTTCACATAGTCTCGAGATGCATTATAGTCTTGTTGGAAGGTAGGGATTCTAAATACCCTTCCCTTCCTCCATATTCTGTTAGCTAACAATAGACACCCAAAGGAACCCAAAGGGAGTCAGGCGTCAGCTTCACTGCACAATGGATTCTGCCGTTAGGAAATCTGCATTAGATCTGAGACAAAATAGGAATTTCTGTTTCTTCTCTCTTAAGTGAAGGAAGGGCTGACTGTGTTTACCCATCTAGGAGGGGAAACTAGAATAGAGAAAGCAGCGACCCATGTGAGCCTGCTGCAGATAGACTTTGTCTAGTTTGCTTACCACACAGGCTGGAATCTGTTCCTGAACCTACTTCACAGGTCAGCAAACTGCAGCCTGTGGGCCCCGTCTGGACTGCTAACAGTTTTTGAGTTAACTACAAGCTAAGAGCGGTTTCTACATTTAAAAATGGTTAAAAAAAAATCAAAAGAAGAAGAATGTCATTACGTGTGAAAATTATATGAAATGCACACTTCAGCATCCATAAAATTCTATTGAAACCTAGTCACACTTGCTTGTTTACGTATTTTCTGTAGCTGTTTTTGTGCTACCACAGCAGAGTTGAGTAGTTGTGATAGAGACTGTGGTAGCCCACAAAGCCTAAAGTATTTATTATCTGACCCTTATAGGAAAAGTTTGCTGACCTCTGACGTAGATGTTCTATGGCCTTGTAGTCCAGGGACTAGCAACAGAGAGCAGGTATCACCAGGGAGCTTGTCAGAAGTGCAAGATGTCAGGCCCCACCCCAGATCTGCTGAATCAGAATCTGTATTTTAATAAGCTCCCCAAGTGAGTAATATACACATTAAATTTTAAGAGTCACTGCCTTGGGAAAGCAATGGGAGAGAGGGGGACACTGAGCCTTGTTGTCCCTCCAATATGCAATAGCATTGTTGGATATTAGATTTGCACCAAGCAGCGAAATCACTTCTCTTCTCCTGATGAGGGGTGGAGGAAACACTGGAGCAGGGTCCTTGAATTTTTCACACCAGCACTGCTGCCTCCTGGAGATGGGATAGAATTGCTTTTCCCATGAAGCTGTAGGAATAAAAATGTTCCTCCTAACACTCTAGTGTACAGATTCCTGGACTGGGATTCAGGAGACCAGAGTTGTAGTCCCCACTGTTGGCTAGTTTTCCTGATGATGAGCACTTGCCCCTTTAGTTTCTTTATGCAAACAAAGAAGTCATCAGATTAGATTAAAAGCAAAGAGCCAAACAAACATCTTTTAGCTCTCAAATTCTTGATTTCTAACATTCAGAGGTATCAGATACAATATTTTCTTTTGTGTGCTTAATTGGAATTTTAAGATCCTAAATGCAACCCAGAATTTAGAACATATGTATAAACTGAGTGGAACAGTGCAGAACTCAACATTAATTGCTTTAGACTAAAGTAAATAGAGTTAGGATTCTGGGAGATTATCATGACTGCCAATTATAATATTTGTGGAAGTAAGTAACTTGAGATCCCCTATAAAAGCTTCTCAAAAACAGAGTATAATACTGCTTTTGTATAAAGTTAACCCCAGTTCAGAAACTGAGGTTATTTTATGAATTTAACTTTTGTGCTAAGTAAACTATCAATTTATGAAAGATTTTCCACCACTCAAGACTAAAATGCTACATGGAGTTGATTCTGAGATGCATAATTTCTTTTGCTATACTCTGTTTATAGCTGGAACAGATGGTGATCAAAATGGACTTGATCACCCATCTGTTGAAGTTTCCCTGGATGAAAACTCAGGAATGTTAGTAGACGGGTTTGAAAGGACCTTTGATGGGAAGCTCAAGTGTCGGTACTGCAACTATGCCAGCAAAGGAACAGCCCGGCTTATCGAACATATTAGAATCCACACAGGTAACGGAGAAATGGCTGGAGAAGGCATGTCTTTGGGGGCAGGAGAGGGGCCAAGGAGGGCAGGTTGATCTGTCATATAAGTAGTTAGAGAGTTTCAAAATGGAAGTTGACACAAGGTTTGAATAAATGGGGAAGTTACTCGATTTTTATAAAGTAATAGTGTAACAACATATAAACAGGAAGTGAGGCCCTTGTAGAACTTCTCCTTCCTTAGCCGTCTTTCTTCTTGATCCAAATAATCTCTCAACATCTGTCTGCTTCTCAGGCAGGGCAGGTTAATGCTGAAGGCAGTATGAAGTGATAAAATGTTTTTTTCTTTATCCTTACTAATTACGTTTCAATTGCAGACTGGGGAAAAGTTTCTATACAGTTGCAGACAACACTGCTAATCCTCAGGTCTCACCTTAGCCAGCCCTTCTTCTGTGAACAGGGTAACTACACCTGTAGTCACCTAACTCTACCCTGCTCTGGCCCAAGACCAGGTCAGGTGTCCCTCCTGTGTGGCCCGTGGTTTCCCCTGTTGAGTTGTGGTGGCGTGAAAACCTCCTGAGGACAGGGATTGTGTCAGGGCCATCTTTGTGCCCTCAGAGCTTAACAGAGCATCCGACACGGGTACACAGTACTTGTTCAGTAAATGACTCCAAATCTCATATTCCAAATGTGTATTTTACATATTTGGGCCATCTTCAGCTAACAGCACTAGCTAGACTTGTCCCTTCTGGCAACTGAAGAAGAGAGGAAGGTAGAGGTGAAGTGCTGGCAATTTTGAAAGGACACTTTGCGTGTAACTCATACTTGGAAGCCCATTTCAATTTTGAGCTTTTTATTTAATATAAGGACAGTTTTTAAAAGGTTTTTTGTATTTTGTTTTCCTGAGGAAGGGGTATTTGTGTGTGTGTGTGTGTGTGTGTGTGTATGAATAAGTGTTTGTGCATAGATATGTACATGAACATATAACTAGGGCTTTTTTTTGTGTGTGTGAGGAAGATCAGCCCTGAGCTAACATCCGATGCCAATCCTCCTTTTTTTGCTGAGGAAGATTGGCTCTGAGCTAACATCCATGCCCATCTTCCTCTACTTTATATGGGACGCTGCCGCAGCATGGCCTGACAGGCGGTGTATCTTTGCGCGCCCAGGGTTCCAAAGCTCCGAACCCCAGGCTGCCAAAGCGGAGCACGTGCACTTAACTGCTGCGCCACCGGGCCAGCCCCTAGGGCATATTTTTCATAAAATCATTATTAATGTAGAAAATATTGTCAGTTGTGCTGTTTCTTCTTTCCCCAAATGCCAGTTGAAACCATAACAATTTTTACACTGTATTGATGAATAGGTTATATCTGTATGTCTCAAATTGTTGCTAATGAGTTTTTAAGCATTATTTAAGCTTGCAGATTTCTTTACAAATTTTAATAATCTTTTGTGCAAATGTGAATTTCTGAAAGGCATTTTATTTTTGATCAATTTCTAAATCTAATGAATGGACAAAACAAAACTTATAAATGAGCTACACTTGCAGTTTTTTCCCCATTTTTCTTTTTAAACAGGAGAGAAACCTCATAGATGTCATTTATGTCCATTTGCATCTGCTTACGAGCGTCATCTGGAAGCCCATATGCGTTCCCATACAGGAGAAAAACCATACAAATGTGAATTATGTTCCTTCCGCTGCAGTGATCGAAGTAACCTGTCCCATCATCGAAGGCGCAAGCATAAAATGGTACCAATTAAAGGTACTAGGTCTTCCTTAAGCAGCAAGAAAATGTGGGGAGTTTTACAAAAGAAAACAAGCAATCTGGGCTATAGCAGAAGAGCACTAATCAACCTAAGTCCACCTTCCATGGTGGTTCAGAAGCCAGACTACCTTAATGATTTTTCCCATGAAATCCCAACTATCCAGACTGACTCCTATGAAAGTATGGCGAAAACCACATCTACTGGTGGCCTGCCAAGGGACCCCCAAGAACTCATGGTTGACAACCCTTTAAATCAGCTCTCAACTCTAGCAGGACAGTTGTCCAGTTTGCCACCTGAAAACCAAAACCCCGCATCCCCTGATGTAGTTCCCTGCCCCGATGAGAAGCCTTTCATGATGCAGCAGCCCTCTGCCCAAGCAGTAGTTTCTGCCGTGTCAGCAAGTATTCCTCAGAGCTCCTCTCCCGCGAGCCCCGAACCTCGGCCATCACATAGTCAGAGGAACTATAGTCCCGTGGCAGGTCCAAGCAGTGAGCCAAGTGCCCACACAAGTACTCCTAGCATAGGAAACAGCCAGCCAAGCACTCCAGCTCCGACCCTGCCCGTCCAGGACCCGCAGCTTCTGCACCACTGCCAGCACTGTGACATGTACTTTGCCGACAACATTCTTTACACTATTCATATGGGATGTCATGGGTATGAAAATCCTTTTCAGTGCAACATATGTGGATGCAAATGTAAAAACAAGTATGATTTTGCCTGTCATTTTGCAAGAGGGCAACATAACCAACACTGATTGAAAACAATCACATTATGCTTTACTTGTTTTGCCTTTTTGTGTTTTGTAGTTTTGCTTATTGGTTTTTTCAGCAGGGGGGGTCATCCCTAATAAGATGTCTGCTAATTTAAAGTTTAATGTATTTATAGAATATAAATTTGACAGTGGAAACAAAATTTTCTCCTTCATAAAAATCTGTCAGTCATTTATGTATTAGAACAGTTAGACACGTTGGTGTCTATTTTTCCCTTTCATTTAGACATTTGAGAATTTGAGTGCAATCACAATCTTAAAGGGGTTCATTTAAATTTCCCACATTTATGGTCCATAAAAACTTCAAGGCTTATCAATACTCTTGATATTTCAATATACATTGCAGCTAGATGTTATTTCTACCGTATTTCAAAATGGTAGGATAAATTACTTTCTCTTACAAAATCTGTTACAACTTATTTCAATGTTTAGCAGAGGAATTGCCTTTAAAATTGCTCTTAATTGAAATACCATTTAGTTCACATAGCTTAAGTTGAATCAGTAGTTTCATTTCAACTGATAATAGTAAAGCTATTTCAGTGTAGTAAATATTTTTCCATAAGGGGAAATGTAAGACAGTTAATTCTTTTTAAAGTTATAAAAATACAAGGTAAAAGTCCTGAAAAGAAATGAAACCTAAGACTTTAAACTGAAAATGGGGTTTAATATTTTACTAAAATACCTGTTTATTCAATTTCTAATTTAAACACATGGTAATTGTCCATTGGATTCCTTTTATTATACTTCTAGTTTTTTGTAAAAACCAGAGGTAAATACATGAGAATGCTACACAAATCAGTGGAGTATCTATGAAGATGCCTTTCTTGCTTTTAATTTGAACCTTTCATTTAAATCCTTCATTCTGATGCTATTAGTGTCAGATGAGGTTGATAACTATACTGGGAAGCTGTTATTCCTCCTATTCCTTTGATGACCAAAGAGGTACAGTGGAAGTCATCCATCTTATTCCTAGGAAATGTAGTACTTCAAAAAACATCCCTGAAGTTTCCTTTTCCTGCCTTCTATCCACTTGTTGGCCGTAATTGCCAAGAAAAGGTGGGTCTAGAAACACATGGAAAAATGTGATGGTAAAGTAATATTTACAAAAATGAGAACATATGTCCAGAGTGAATTCTGGTCTCCTCTTCAGAATTGGCCATTTAAAATATTTTCTGTGAATTCAAGTTGTAATGCTTATTTGCAGTTTTACCAGTTTTTCATGTACAGTGACAAAACTATATGGAAACTGTGATTGAATTTGTCGCCTTAGTAGGAAAGGATAAAAAAGTGTGAAAATAGTTTTGAAATGCATTTAAACATGCTATTTAATTTGTTTATAAAAGTAAGATGCTGAATAAATCTAGAGTAATTCATTTTGAATAGGAGGCTATTGTTTTTTATTGTGTGATAATAGCTTATTCTGAAGAGAGCTTGGTCAAACAATAAAATATATTGTTACTAACTGTTGGTTTCTGTGTACTTTGCAAAAATTTTATTTTTAATTTGGTTCAAATCTTGAAAATGTTACTAATTGGCTTCTTAAGGAGAAGTTATCCTAACTATTAAGCAAAAAGGACCTCTACTCTTATAGTACAGAAAAGGGAAATATTGATGGTATATGTCCACAAAAACCCCCAAGTGCCAAGTTAATGGATCTTCTCCCCTTCCTTCCAAATGCTGGAACGCCCTTAAAATGAGTTCTTATGGTTTAATATCCAGTCTAAACTAGTCTCAATGGCATTCTTCAAAGAGCAGCATCAGGGAGTTTCTCCAAAGAACTATAACTCTCTTCCTTGTCAGTTCCCAGGCTTCTGAATCTACAATTCTACAATTCTGTTTCTCTGTTGCTTAGGTTGCTCACTGCTCAGATAGTTTTAATGCAGCCATTTTCAAATGTATAACTTGGCCCTAGTATTTATTTACTGCCAGAAGGAAACAGGTTGCTGTCATTTGGAAGCTTTTGTGATTATTTTCTTCCCTCTCACTTCTATTTTATTCTTCAAATAAAAGCAATACCCCAAAATAGAAAATGAAAGTTTTCATTAAACAAAGAGGAAGAACTCTCTTATTAAATCAGTTTATTAACATTATATTCTCGGCCAAATAGTGACAAATACATTTTTTATGACAACTAAAGATAGATGTGTTTTGAAGGTGCATTTTAATTTAAACATAGAAAAGATTTTTTTTCATAATTGCAAACTAGGATGTATAATTCTAATTTTCCTATGACTTAAAGAGCACAATTGGTATTCCAAAGGTGTCGATGCTTGAAAGCTACAATTAATTCTAAATGCACTAAAATTTTTGAAGCATATCTACCTTACAAACTTTTTTTAGTATTGTATTTTTTAAAAGATTTAGGATTTTATTTAAATTTTCTGTGAGTTCTGTATTTGGAGAGATGTTAGTATCTTCCATTAAGTATTGCATATGTTTCTCCCATTTTAATCAAATATTTTATAGAAATGAGTTGTTGGGGAAAGTTTAACGTGCACTATTTATAGTACTTTGCTGTTAACAGGCAATGTTATGAAACTAAATTTATTTTTGTTCAGTGAACATAAGTTTAGATTTTTAAAGTTGGTAGATAATTTATCTCCACTAATATTTTTTTAAGAAACTGTGAAGAGATTAACAGGGAATAATTTTATTTCTACTAATATAATAACTTCTTGAAATTCAAGTAAAGGCTAGATTTTTACTTTGAAAAAATTCCATTGGATATCTTCCAGTGCTGTTTCATTTTAGAAATAAGTGTTTGCCATTTATCTGCAGAATTGTTTGACAAAGGGAATATTACTAAAAAAAAGTTCAGAGATAAACCTCATTTTAAGTTCTACAAAAATATTTATCAAATGGATGTATTTAAAAAAAAATTCCCTGCTAAGGACTTTTTCATTAACTAGTCTTAGAGGGTATGTGATTTCTGGAATTTGTTTTTGTTAATGTGTACTTTGATGTCAAGAAGATATTTTGTATGCGAAACATAAAACTTGAGTGTGGCTGCAAAACACTATTGTTGAGGGATTCCAGAAAGCAGTTTAATGCTGAAATAACTGTAGTATGTAGTTCATATTGTGAATGAAGCTTTGCTTTTGTAATATATGAATAAAAACTAACACTTTCTAATGATCTCGATTTTTCTTTTTTGAAAACTAGGATCCAGTTAGTCTTTTAGCAAGTTTCTAGTACATAAAATGTTAATTAAAAAAACGAAGGTTTTGGGCTGGCCCCGTGGCGTATAGGTTAAGTGTGAGCACTCCGCTGCTGGCGGCCCCAGTTTGGATCCTGGGCGTGCACCGATGCACCGCTTGTCAGGCCATGCTGTGGCAGCGTCCCACATAAAGTGGAGGAAGATCAGCACAGGTGTTAGCTCAAGGCCAGTCTTCCTCAGCAAAAAGCAGAGGATTGGCATGGATGTTAGCTCAGGGCTGATCTTGCTCACAAAAAAAATGGAAATAAAAAAACCCCAAAGGTTTTTTGGCTAGATTTGTTTGAATTTGTAGAATGCCTTATCCAGGAGAAGATCTGTCACATGAGTTAAAAAGAAAAACTGCTCCATACATCTGCTCTTTGCATTGTCTTTCTTACCTACATACAAAAACATTGTCTCCTTCCTAGTTTCTTTGCTTTAAGATCCATTCAACATGACTCCTGCCCCTGCCAACCCCACCCTAAGGGTTCTGGCACATAAATGAGGAAGGCTGCCTCTGAATCTTAATTATCCATTGTCACATCTGACAAGTGAGTACTGGACAATAATTTCTGTTAACGACGAATGGATCTTTTAGAATGGACTAATTTTTTTAAAAAATAAATCTTTGGCAATTCACATCATTGGCCTAGAAAACATTCAGTAATATAAAATTGTTTTAGTTTGCAAAATCTTAATGAAAATCAGACATTGGATTGGAAAATCAGAAGTTTTAATGCTGCTTTGAGAAATATTTCTGTACAATGTTATCTTTCTCATAATGAAAAAAAGAAATAACATCTGCTATGTCAATGGTTTGTTGAAAGCACAGGTATTTTTTGTTTCCTTGTCTTAGGTCTTCCAAAAACTCGGCTTTGAGCTTGTTAAGTTCTTCTGCTAGAAGCTTCAAGTTGTAAGGAAGCACTTGTTCATCTAAAAATAAAAAGATATTCTCAAATTATTTGTGTAAATTAAATCAAGCTAGGCTGTCCAATGACATTAGGAAATTAATTTGAATAGACAAACCAATTATTCTTCTGTAAATAATCACAATCGAGTTGGTGTAATTTATAGACAAAAAGTCACAATGTTATACAAGCAAACTTTAAATAACTTGCTATGAAATGTGTGAGCAGAAAAAACAAGCCTGAAAGGGATCTTTTTGTTGTTGACAAGATAGTTGACTTAGAGTCTTATTAGAGGTAGTAAAGCAAAAAAGCAGAAATAGAAAAAATGACAATTTGAGTTTGAAACTGATAATATCTAGAACAGTTGTCTAATACAACTTTCTACAATGATGGAAATGTTCTCTATCTGCTCTATTCAGTGCAGCAGCCACTAGCCATATGGGTAGTGTGACCGAGGAACTGAATTTTTTTGTTAAACAGCTTTGTTGTCAGCCAGCCCTGGTGGTCTAGTGGTTAAGATTCAGCGCTCTCACCACCACACCCGGGTTCATTTCCCCGGTCAGAGAACCACACCACCTGTCTGTCACTTGTCATACTGTGGCAGCTGCGTGTTGCTGTGATGCTGAAAGCTATGTCACTGGTATTTCAAATACGACCAGGGTCACCCACGGTGGACACGTTTCAGCAGAGCCTCTAGACTCAGCCTAGGAAGCAGGACCCGGCCACCCAGTTCAGAAAAAAATGGCCATGAAAACCCTATGATTAGCACCGGAAGGTGAGAGGATGAAGCAAAGACCTGGCAGGGTTCTGCGCTGCTGTACACTGGGTCGTTAGCAGTCAGAATTGACTCAGCAGCACTAACAACAAAAACAGATTTATTGAGATAAAATTCACATACCGTACAATTTATCCATTCAAACAACAATTCAGTGGTTTTAGTATATTCACAGAATATGTGCAACTGTCACCACAGTCTATTTTAGAACATTTTCATCATCTCAAAAACCTGCGCCCTCTAGCTATCACCCTCCTACTCTATCCCCCCCACAACCCCTAAGCAACCACTAACCTACTTTGTGTCTCTAGATCTCCCTGTTCGGGACATTCCACATTACTGGACTCATACAGTATGTGGCCTTTTGTGACTGGCTTCTTTCACTTTGCATAATGTTTTCAAGGTTCATCCTTGGTGTAGCATGCATTGGTACTTCATTCCTTTTTATGACTGAATAATTCATTGGATATACCATATTTTGTTTATCCATTTGTCAGCTGATGGACATTTGGGCTGCTTCCACATTTTGGCTATTATGAATAATGCTGCTATAAACATTTGTGTACAAATTTTTATATGAACATATGTTTTCATTTCTCTTGTGAATACACCTGGGAGTGGAATTGCTAGGTCCCACGGTAACTGCATTTAATCATGTGAGGAACTGCTAGGCTGTTTTCCAAAGCAGCTGCAGCCTTTTACACTCCCACCAGTAGTGTATGAGGGTTCTGATTTCTGCATATCCTCTCCAACACTTGAACTTTTGATTCTAGCTGTCCTAGTGGGTATCTCACTGTAGTGGTATCTCACTGTGGTTTTGATTTGCATTTCCCTGATGACTAATGATGTCAAGTTTGTTATCATGGTTATTGGCAATTTGTATATCTTCCTTGGAGAAAAGTCTATTCAGATCCTTTGCCCATTTTTAAAATTGGGTTATTTGTCTTTATTATTGAGTGGTAAGAGTCCTTTATATATTTTGGATACAAGTCCCTTATGGGATACATGATTTGCAAATATTTTCTCCCATTCTGTGGGTTGTCTTTTCACTTTCTTGATGGTAGAACTGAATTTTTAATTTTACTTAAGCACAGATCTAGAAGCTAGTACTACTTCCCTTACCAAAAAAAAAAAATCTATTTTTTTAATGGGTGGGAAATGAGTCAAGAGTGATTTGGGCATAACCCTTTTCCCCTTTCCCTTCATTTTATAGACAGAACAGAAGAAAGGCAAATGGGGAAAGACAACTCCTGCAACTATTTTGTTGTTATTCTAATTATGCTGCCATTTCTGTTCCAGTCCTCTGGTTTTCAAACTTTGAATTCTAACTTATAAATGAGTTGCAAGAGGCCGGCCCTGTGGCTTGGTGGTTAAGTGCGCGCGCTGCGATGCTGGTGGCCCGGGTTCGGATCCCGGGTGCGCATCGAGGCACCACTTCTCCGTCCATCCTGAGGCCGAGTCCCACATACAGCAACTAGAAGGATGTGCAGCTATGATATACAACTATCTACTGGGGCTTTGGGGGGAAAAAATAAAATAAATAAAATCTTTAAAAAAAATAAATAAAAATAAAATAAAAAAATAAATGAGTTGCAAGTGCAACCAGTGTTCCTCTAACATGGAATCAAATAGGACATAGTAGAGTTCATTACACATGTGAGGGTTTTGTGACACTTGTTTCTATGCATGTGTGTGTTTATGTACCAGGCTACACACTAGGTTACAATATAAAACCTACTTATTTATCATGGTAAAAAAAGTTTGAAAAACACAATATGGTTAGTATATTGTTTCTTTTTATCTTTTTTTTCTTTTTTTGCTGAGGAAGATTGGCCCTGAGCTAACATCTGTGCCCATCTTCCTCTGTTTTGTATATGGGACACTGCCACAGCATGGCCTGATGAGCAGTGCTTAGGTCCGTGCCCAGGATCCGAACCTGTGAACCCCAAGCCGCTGAAGCGGAGCGTGCAGACTTAACCACTATGCCACCGGGCCGGCCCCAGGGAATTATTTTATAAAACTACAGTTATCACATATTTCACCTAAGTTCAGACTGACAATACACTGAGCTTGCTCAAACTCCATGCTGATTTTACATCTGGCCCCTGACTACCTCTCCCTGTTCCTTACTTCACTCCAGACTCAATGGACTCTTTTCTGTTCTAGAACATACCAAACAACTTGACCTCTGGGCTTCTGCACTTGATGTGTCCACGGCGTGGAATGATTTTCCTCCAGGTATCTGCAGGGCTTGCTCCTTCCTTTCATTCACATCTCTGCTTAAATGTCATCTCCTCTGAGAAGCCTTCCTGATTACCCTTTTAAAAATAAGTCGTCCCATCACTCTCCACTGCCTCACCCTACTTTACTTTTCTTCAGAACACTGGCAGACAGGCATAGATTTGTGTTTTTGTCTGTCCCCTCACTGTCGTGTTCTGCTCCCTCCTGACTCCTCAGTGTCTACAATAAGGCCTAGTCCAGAGTAGCCACTCAATAAAAAGTTATTGGCTGGATGAATACCCAGTTCCAGGGGTAGAAGTTTTAGTTTTCTATAACGAAGTTGCATATTTAAACTGAAAACATGATGTAAACTCTATGACTGAAAGCTAATAAACCACCCAAGTGTCAAGGGACCAGGAGCAGCAGCAGAGAGTCATTCAACTACACAGCACATAACTACCCAACATACCTTTTGCTTCCTTCATCGTCTGAGAGACAATTCGTCGGAGTGTCTGATCAGCTTGATGGAGAATGTTAGTTGAACAAATAATTCTGTCTGTTTCCTATGTAACACAGACATTGTTACTGGAAGTTACACAGTTTTATAAAAGAAATGGCTAAAGTGTACGTGATGCATATTTGAAGAGACTAAAAGAAAAGTTAAAGTGGTTTCTCTGTTTCAGTTATTTTTCCCTAGGAGGGGGTCTAAATGAAATACGTCCAGTTGTAAACTGGGTTCCATCTAGGCAGTGGTGTGCTGGCAAATGTCCAATGATGGGCTCTCTCCAGGAGAAAAAACCAAAAACATTATCTTTATTGTTTGTCAATTTCTGTGGTGTAAATATTCCCATCCTTGCCCATTTCAAGCTACCAACATAACGTCAACAGGCTCCAACATTTCTGAAAATTTAACAATCTGCTTTGACCAGCCGGTGCAAGCTGCCACCAGTGCACACTGCATCCAGGTGTCAGAAGCCAAATGCTGCTGAGATGCCAATGCAGGGACAAAGCATTTTTCATAGTTTACTCATATTTTACACTTAGGTCAAAAAGATCTTCCTACAAAATTTGTCTCTTCTCATTTATACTAAAGCTATACTGGAAGACTTACCTTTTGTTCCACATTGTCCTCAACATATTTCACTGGATTTTCCAAAGCAGTAAGCAATAAATCAGTCAACTGCAGGCTATAAGAGAAGTTGAGATAAAATAAATCCTTATATCAAACATGTGTTTTTAAAGATCTTGTGTTTATGAACACTAAATTGAATTCTAGAGGAATAAAATTGCTATAGTCCAAGATCCTAAACAAAAGGGGGGCACAAAATGATTTGGAAGCTACCTTCTACTTGCAAAATCCAAATGTGGAAACTTAAAACAAATTATAAGCCAAAAAAATCCCCTCATTTAAAAAATATTAATTTCCTAAGACTCATATCGATAAGCTTTGAAAAGACATTCTTTCTTTCCCCTCATTAAGTGCTGAACTTCAGGCTACAAGAACTCTCCTTTATTCCCTAAAGATGCTTAGTCTCTACTTTCTGGCTTCTGCTTATTTACTGGATATGGATTAGCAAATTTCCTCACTGGTCAAGGGGCCATGGAGGGTGGAATTCATTCACTCATTCAACAGTTATTTATTGAGCATCTTCTTTTTCTTGTGAGGAAAACTGGCCCTGAGCTAACATCCGTTGCCAATCTTCCTCTTTTTGCTTGAGGAAGATTGTCACCGAGCTAAGATCTGTGCCAGTCTTCCTCCATTTTGTATGTGGGATGCCACCACAGCACAGCTTAACGAGTGGTGTGTAGCTCCATGCCCGGGATCTGAAGCCACGAACCCCGGGCTGCCAAAGCACAGCGTGTGAACTTCACCAGTATGCCACCGGGCCAGCCCCTTGAGCATCTTCTTATATGAAAAATATTGTACAACTATGTATGTGACACAATGTGCTAAGCTGAAGGCACAGCAAGATCCCTACTCTCTGTAAGCCTGACAATGTAATGGAGACAGACAGAAAGTAAATTAATTAAATAAGCAGAAAATAATAATTTCAGACGGTGCCAAGTGGATAAATGAGTGAAGACAGTAAACAAAGTGATAATGATAAGAGAGTGACGGGGTAGTCCAACTAACATTCTTCATGTCAGTTAGGATGGTCACGGAAGCCAGTCAAGTACAGACTTGTGGGAGGGGTGGAGGGGCCGCAGGCGCAAAGGCAAGAACATGCTTCTTATGTTCATGACAGAGAAGGCCAGCTTGGTTGAAAAACAGCAAGGGGGGAAAGTGGTAGGATACGAGGTTGGGGAGTTAATCAGGGTTAGAACATGTAGGGCCTGGGCCTTGCTTGCTCGGCAAGAGCCCACAAGCCCACTGCAACCATGTGCCCTTCTGGCTCCCTCTGGGCAGGACGCCTAGCTGCTGGGATTAGTAACGATGAAGGGCCTGGCCAGCCCAGACCTTACCTTGTCTCACTTGAAGAACACCCCGTCTTAAAGGGACACAGAGCCCCTCCACGTGAGCTACTGTTCCTGGGAACACCGGTCGTACGAGGGACAGCCCCTTGGCAAGCATATAGCCTTTGTGTCCCCTGCCTATATAAGCAAACCCCTCCCCCCCGCCCGCGGTTGCTGGTGCACATTGCTGTCCAGTCAGCCGCCACTGGACCTCCCTGTAAGTAACTCCCAATAAACCCATGTCTCGTTCGCCATCTCCAGGTCTTTTCTTTGGTCTCTCAGCAACCTATCCCGCACTGCTCTCCCAACTGCGTGTGTGGCCAGACAGAACATGTACGTTATGGTAAGGAGTTTGAATTTTCCTCAGAGTACAGGGAGTAGCACTGAAAAAATCTGAGCCAGTGAACGCACTGAGTTCCTCTCAACCTCAAAATGACCTTTCTCACACTGAAAAGAGCCCAGCTTCTAGAATGAGTGAGATCACACTGGGTCTAAATCTTGGCTCTGCCACTTACTACCTGGATTGTGACTTTACCTACTTGGGCCTCAGTTATCCCATCTATAAAACGGGGATAATTATATTTACCCTCAAGGGTTGTTGTGAGGATTGAATGAAATTATACAGATAAAGTGTTCAGAACATGCCCAATATGTAGTATCTGCTCCATAGCTGTTACTGCTAGTAGCAGGAGTATTTCACAGAAGGCTGGGAAAGGAACATTTGTCAGGTCATCTTTCAACTTCCAACACAGGGCCTCCAGACTTCAAATAACCCCTTCACAGTTATGCTGTGACTATTCTGGATATGTGAGAACAGGTGACCAGTTCTGAAAACCCAAGACAAAACTGAGATTATGCTCACGGCTGGCCCTGGCACTGGACAAGTTCATCTTCCTCCTTGCTTCTAGCAAGAACTGGCCCTCACTGGTCTCAAAGCACTGAGATAACCTTATGCCACTCTCCCGGAATATCTCAATGCCTCAACCAGCCACTCGTTTCCAAAGGAAGAAATTTTAAGTATTCTAGAATAAGTAGCAATCAATTGGTTATGTGCCTGCTCAAAGTTTCAGGATATTATGACAAGCTAAAATTAGAAACCTCAGCAGAAGCTTATTTCATAAACCCTATAAACAATAGCCACACAAATCCAATTTTGGGTTTTGTTTCTTTTTTTTTGGTAGATTAAAGTATATATTATAAAATGCATAGAAACTGTATCCTGGGAACTAAACATTTTGAGGGATGAGTTTAAAAAATTAGCCTTTTAAAAACTGCTGATACCCTCTGGACAACAGTTAGGCAGGAGCTAAGGTAATACATCTCGAGAACTGCGTTGTCTGATACAACAGCCACTAGCCACATGAGGCTACTTAAGTTTAAAGTAACTGAAATAAAATTTAAAATTCAGGTTGTCAATTGCACTGGCTATATTTCAAGTGCTCAGTGGTTGCATGTGGCTAGCAGCTACCATACGGGACAGTGCAAATACAGAACATTTCCATCATCAGTGAAATTTCTATTAGAAATGCTGCTCTAGAACTCTCAAGACATGTATCATGAATGAAGCCTTACGGCCCCAGTCTGCAAGCCCCGCATATACACGGCAGTGCAACTGTACCAAGGCTGAAGGCAAAACTGGGATGCAGTACCCGTTCCACTCTCTCTCTTTCTGTGAGGAAGTTCCTGGGCAACCCATTGAGACTACGCTACTTTAGCAAGAGTACCAAAGATGTGTCCTCCTCTGAGTTCCCCACTCTGACCTCTGGGAGAGTATAATCTTAACAAGAGTATATGTTTGCAAACCAACTTGGGTTCACATCTCAGTGGGCACAAGCTCGGTGACTCCGGACAAACTAAATGTTCTCATTCAGCTGCCTCTTCTACACAAAGGGGGAAATAACAGTACCTCTCCAAGGCTTGTGTAAGGACTAACCAAGAGGATGCAAGTAAGGCATTTAGCACAGCGTCTAGCTCAGGGAGGCACCCACTGAAGGACGGCTTTGAGTAGGATACCTGGCCTCAGCAGAACATGATGGACTCTGAATTGTGAGGCTGTTGTGTTCCCAAGCATTTTTCTCAGGGTTGGGCTTTTCTATCTTTCTTCCCATCAGGTGGATGGTCTCGGCAGGCAGTGTCCGTGGTCTCTGGTCATTCCTCTGTAAACAGGTCTCGAGAGAACAATCTAAAAAGAGCTGGCAAAAGCCTAATGAATCTGAAAGCAATTTGAAACCACAAAATTATTGGTGTACTAATTTTCCAAAATGTGAAATAAACATATTAGACAAATTATCCCAGCTGCAGCAGGAAAAACCATTTGCAACACTGAAATCTTGCTTTGAAAATTAAGTAAATCCATATAAACCACCAAATCCAATTAAATTCTCATTAAAGACAGTAGTGAGTTTGATATGTGAATAAATGTCTCTGTGTGTAAGAAAAAAATGTCTTAATTACATTTCCGAGCCAGTTGGTAGACTTCATATCTCATACTTTGATAATAAAAGTTGTCATCTAAAATCAAAAACAAAGGTCTAGAAACAGCAGTCTTTGTTAAGAGGTAGCAAGACTGGGCCTCAAGCGCTGCAGAAGATATCAGATCTTGATTCTTTAAGCAGGTTATAAAATCTTTCCACATGGCTTCAGTCCTGTTGGGTGGCGCAGACATCTGACACCCGTTAATGACAGCCATCAGGAAGTATTCTAGGTACTTCAAGAGTTCCTGTCGAAGCAATTTCCATTGGGATGGCTACAAAAGACCAAGAATTACAATTTATATTAGGCTTTGGCCAGTAGAGTGGTCATGCCTCATTGCCACCCTGCCCCATATGAAAATATGAGCCCACAATACTGAACCATTTGGAGTTCTCTAAACACAATTTGTTTTCTTATGCCTCCATGTCTTCATACATACTGTTCCCTCTGCCTGGAAAACTCCTACTCAATGATGTCAGTCCTCTGTGACGTTTTCTCAGACTCAACATGGAGAAGGCAGCTCAGACCCTCCCTTGCCTATCATAACACCCTGTTCTGCACATATTGGGTCTCCACTCCAGCAGGGTTTACACTGTTTAGTCATTTATTCGCACATCTCTATGTCCCTGCTAGATTAACAGTCTATTGTATACCCAGCCTCCAGCAGTGAGTGTGGCACTTATTAGCTGCTCCAGAAATGTATATTAAATAATTGAATGACTGAATGAGTGAATAAATGAAAGAATGAAAAGCTGTTACCATCCAGGAGAAAGGAGGAGCCTAAATCAATATCCTGCCAAAATAAAAGTCTGGCTAAGATATAGCAATGCTGGTTTGCCCTGGAAATGAGAAAAGCTCTGGACAGCAAGATCAGCTGAAAGGTCTGTGGGTCAAGATAAAAAGACCTCAAGCTAACAACAGAGTTGGAATGGGATGGGGAAAGACAGAGAAAGCAGATTGAGGGAAAGAATAAATAGCTTCAGAATACAAGTAATCTTGTGCTGCTCAAGGGCTGTGGGGAGCACTGCCACTGTCATAGTTATGAAGTCAAGGCTGGAGGGAAAACACAAGGACAGATTGGGGTCCCTCTCCTGCCTATCCGTCCCTTACCACCTCACTGAGATTACAGCACATACAAACACATCAGCTAAACCCATTAAAAAGGAAACACGGACCACTTCCTAAAAAATGAGACATCCTACCTACAGTGACTAGATGAGTCTCACAGCCTTTGCCTGTAGGAGGAGAGTGTAAAAAATATAATAATAAAAGTGAGGGAAAAGCCCAGGAAATACAACAATCCCTATCAACAACTTTCAGCTTTCTCCAGAGTGGTGAAAATACTATCATCCAAGTAAATCTGTTGCTACCAGGGGCCCGATACTGTATTTAGCTCACAATTAACCAAGAATGAGGAAGTACATAGTTTTGCTGGAGCAGTCCAAAATTTTCCCATATGCCAAACATACTGTATTTCTGCATACATACTGGTAGGGTGCAATCACATCATATTTGCATTTTATTTATGTGAATTAATCTACACTTGGGCAATAAACGACAAAAGTAACTATTTAAAATTTTCAGAATATTCCAATCAGAGTATTTACTCTAGAATGAGCACGAGATGGGAGACATGAATCTACTCTTCCCCCCGAGGTCTGTTTTCATATGCTTCTCCAAGGGTATGCATCTCACTGTACTGAGTGTGACTGGAGGGCTTAAAGAGATGTACGTACCTGGAACACATAAGTTGGTCCCTAAATACAAGCCCATTACTTCATCCGCTGATCAATGAAGAAACAGCCATTTTTCCTATGCTGGCAGAGGCAACTTTACCGTGAACGGAGCTTCAGCGGCCAGGCCCTTCATTTGTACAGCCTCCTCCTATCATTGTGGGAGGGACGCTAGCAATTTACTTATGATTTTGTATTCTTTTTCTTAAAAACGGTTCTCCAAATTGTATAAACTTCAATCCCCACAAAACCCGGATTCACCCGTGGCTGGATGTTAAACCGGCTGTGTTGGAATTTGTGAGAGATTCTGTCCCTCTCCTAAGAACAATCTTCCCAAAGGATTTTCAAAAAGAGTATATTTGACCACAGGGGATTTCCACCTTGCACCCTGCCTTCAGAACCTAACCCTGTCTTAAGACTCCGCTGTATAGAATATACAATACATATATGCCCCAAATACACATATAAACCTCTACAATGAACTCTTCTAAGATGCAGTCAATTCATTGTGTTAAACCAGCTCCACTTTCCTCGAAGCCCGGCCTCCTCCTCGCTCAGGTTTCGCCCGCCATACCACGTATTGTAGAGTGGGGCCTGCACACTTCCTTCTGCGTCCTCAGTCTAGGCCCCGCCCCTCCGTACTGACCAATGGCCGTGCGCTCGCCTCCTCGAGGAACGCGTCCGGCATGACGTCATCATAGGCGACGACGCACACGGCCCAGCCCCGCTCTTGCCGTAGCTGGTGGCTGAGAGCCCGCGCGAAGGTCGATTTTCCTGCTGCTGGCAGGCCGCAGAGGACGCAGAGTCCTAGCTTCCGCGGTCCCGCGCTGCCCTCTCCTCTGGCGTCCTCGCCGGTCTTCATGTTGCCCAGGGAGCCCGCAGGCGGCTGGGAGCGTTGTCTCCGGAACCGTCCGCTAACTGCGCACGCGCACTCTCCCACCGCCCTACTGCGCCGCCTGGCGCCGCGGTGGAGAAATGGGCCAGTCTTGGAATTCAAAAACGATGCGTGGTCCTGGCTGTTTGCGAGGTGCTCCAGTGGTCACTTGAAGCGCTGGTGCCAGCTGTTTGCGAGGCGAGCCTTGCAGGCTGGGGAGACCACGGCGATGCGTTTCCTAACTCCTGGACATTTCCCAAAGCGTCAGAGAGTTGGACTTAATCCTCAGTTAGAATCAGCCTCCCTGGCGGAAACTTGTAAGCCATTAGGATTTGCGCCTCCGTTTCGTTAGGATGAAGTTCCCTGCCCTGGAAAATCCCGGAAGAGACTTTGAGCCTCTTCTTCCAGCGGTCTTGGGAATGTCAGTTAGTGAAATCAAATAGGAGGCGTAGCTGACAGTCCAATGACCGCGCTCCGCTGCCCCTCCTGGATGTGATAGGTGGAAAGACAAAGTAAATATTAGTTATTGCGCCCTAACGCCATGAGTCGGCAGCAAGTGTGAGAAAATAAGGGCAGGAAAGGAACATTCCTAGACCCCCGTTTCGATGCATTCATGCAGAGGACGGTAGGTATTTCATGTTAAAAAAGAAATACTAAGCTGTAGAGAGGAATAAAACAAATTGCTTGTGTGGGGATGTGGTGTAGAAAAGTTGAATTCAGATTCTAGCTTTCGCCTTATTTTAGAGGATTACTTCTTAGTCATAAGGGGGTATGTTCAAAATCTGGTGAACAAGTGAGGTTAGAATCAATGTATAGGGGCAGAATACAACCAATAATCCAATGTTAAAACTGATACAATTCGTGATTACAGAGCACGTACGCATACATTATCTCTTTCTTTTGGAGCACTGTGTTAAACATACTCTTCATTTCATAACATTTTATTGTCATTGGCCCAGTGCAAGATCCTTCTTCTTAATTTATTATTCTCTTTTATCCCCTGTCTTCCACACTCACACCTATTTCCTCCCTCTTCCCCAGGCAACCTTTTTTTTTCTTTTTAACATGGTTTTGTTTCAGTTTTTTTTTTTTTTTAAGATTTTTAGAGCAGTTTTAGGTTCACAGCAAAATTGAGCAGAAGATACAGAGAGTTCCCATATACCTCACCCCCTCACCCCCAGTCTCCCCCACTGTCAACATCCCCCACCAGAGTGGTACATTGTTACAATCAATGAGCCTACACATCATTATCACCCAAAATCCATAGTTTATATTAGGTTCGCTCTTGGTATTATACATTCTGTGAGTTTTGATAAATCTATATGACATGTATTTACCATTATAGTGTCATACAGAATAGTTTCACTGCCCTAAAAATCCTCTGTGCTCTACCTGTTTATCCCTCCCTATCACCTAACTAACCCTTGGCAACTGCTGATCTTTTTATTGTCCACAGTTTTTGCCTGTTCTGGAATGTCATACAGTTGGAATCATACAGCCTTTTCAGATTTGCTTCTCTCACTTAGTAATGTGTATTTAGGGTTCCTCTATGTCTTTTCATAGCTTGATAGCTCATGTCTTTTCAGTGCTGAATAACATTCCATTGTCTGGACAAACCACGGATTATTCATCCATTCACCTATTGAAGGACATCTTGGTTGCTTCCAAGTTTTGGCAGTTATGAATAAAGCTGCTATAAACATCTGTGTGCAGACTTTTGTGTGGACATAAGTTTTCAACTTATTTGGGTAAATCCAGAGGAGCATGAGTGCTGGATCTTATGGTAAGAGTATGTTTAGTTTTGTAAGAAACTGCCAAACTGTCTTCCAAAGTGGATGTACCATTTTGCATTCCCACAAGCAATGAATGAGAGTTCCTGTTACTTTACATTCTTGCTCAGCACTTGGCGGTGTCAGTGTTTTAGATTTTAACCTTAACTTGCAATTTCCTAATAACGTAGGATGTTGAGCATCTTTCTTTCTTTTCTTTTTTTTGTAAGGAAGACTGGCTCTAAGCTAACAGCCATTGCTAATCCTCCTCCTTTTGCTGAGGAAGATTATTGCTGAGCTAACATCTGTTCCCATCTTCTTCCATTTTGTATGTGGGATGTTGCCACAGCATGGCTTGATGAACAGTGCATAGGTCCACATCTGGACCTGAACATTGGGCCGCTGAAGCGGAGCACGCAAACTTAACCACCATGCTACCAGGCCAGCCCTGTTGAACATCTTTTTGTATGTTTACTTGCCAGCTGTATATCTTCTTTAGAGGTATCTGTTCATATCTTTTGCCCATTTTTAAACTGAGTTTTTCATTATTGTTGAGTTTTAAGTGTTCTTTGTGCACTTTGGGTCACAGTCTTTTCTAAGATACGTCTTTTGCAATATTTTCTCCCAGTGTGTGGCTTGTCTTCTCATTCTCTTGACAGTGCCATTCACAGAGCAGAAGTTTTCATTTTAATGAAGCCCAGCTTACTAATTACTTCTTTCATGGATTGCGTCTTCAAAGTTGTATCTAGAATGTCATCACCACGCCAAATTCATCTAGATTTTATCCTATGTTATCTTCTAGAAATTTTATAGTTTTGTGTTTTACTTTTAGGTCTATGATTCATTTTGCTTTAATTTTTGTGAAAGATATAAATTGTCTAAATTTTTTTTCTTTTACATATGGATATCCTGTTGTTTCAGCTCCATTTGTTGAAAAGACTATCTTTTCTCCATTGCATTGCCTTTGCTCCTTTGTCAGAGATCAGTTGACTATATTTGTGTGGTCTGTTTCTGGGCTCTCGATTCTGTCCATTGATCTATTTGGTTACTTTCTTGCCAATACTACACTGTCTTGATTACTGTAGCATTACAGTAAGTTGGGTAGTGTCAGTCCTCTGACTTTGTTCTCCTTCAATACTGTGTTGGCTATTCTGGGTCTTTTGCCTCGCCATTTAAACTTTACCATCAGTTTGTCAATATCCACAAAATAACTTGCTGGGATTTTGATTGGGATTGTGTTAAATCTATAGATCAAGTTGGGAAGAATTGACGTCTTGACAATATTAAGGCTTCCTATCCATGAACATGAAATATCTCCTTTTATTTAATTCTTTGATTTCTTTGATCAGAGTTTTGTAGTTTTCCTCATATAGATATTGTACGTATTTTATTAGATTTATATCAAGTATTTCATTTTTGGGGGTGGTAATGTAAATGTTATTGTGTTTTAAATTTCAAATTCCACTTGTTCATTGCTAGTATTAGGAAAGCAACTGACTTGTGTATGTTAACCTTGTATCCTGCAACCTTGCTTATTAGTTCCAGGAGTTTTGGGTTGATTCTTTTGGACTTTCTACATAGACAATCATGTCATCTGCAGAGAGAGAGAGTTTTATTTCTTCCTTCTCAATCTATATACCTTTTATTTCCTTTGTCTTATTGCATTAGCTAGAACTTCCAGTATGATGTTGAAAAGGATTGGTGAGAGGGACATCCTTGCTTTGTTCCTGATCTTAGTGGGAAAGCTTCTAGTTTCTCACCATTAAGTATGATGTTAGCTGTAGATTTTTTGTAGATGTTCTTTATCAAGTTGTGGAAGTTCCTCTCTAGTCCTAGTTTGCTAAGAGTTTTTATCATGAATGGGTGTTGGATTTTGTCAAATGCTTTTTCTGCATCTGTTGATATGCTTATGTGATTTTTTTTTCTTTAACCTGTTGATATGATAGGTTACATTAATTGATTTTCAAAGGTTGAACCAGCTTTGCCTACCTGTAGTAAATCTCACTTATTCATGGTGTATAAATTCTTTTTATACATTGTTGGATTCAATTCACTAATATTTTGTTGATGATTTTTGCATACGTGTTCATGCAAAAACACATATGTTCTTTTCTTGTAATGTCTTTGTCTGCTTTTGGTATTTTGGTAACGCTGGCTTCATAGAATGAGTTAGGAAATATTCCCTCTGCTTTTATCTTCTGGAAGAAGATATAATTTCCTCCTTAAATATTTGGTAGAATTCACCAGTGAGCCCATCGGGGACCAGTTATCTTTTTTAACAATGTATTTTGGAAAAATGATTTTTAAAATTTTTTATAAAAACATTGTTCTGTCTTTAAGAATTCCAAAAATGAACTATTGTGGCTTCAAGTTTAGGTGTCCACTATCTAAAAAGACATGCTTTTTAAAGGATGGGTTAAAAAATAAGCATGTGATGTTGGCATCCAGCCATAATTAGAGTATGCCATTGAGGTTGTAAAGCTTTCACAGACCTCAGTCTCACCTGAGGCCAGAAAAAGACTGTAGTATGATGAGATATTTTCTGAATATGTGGTTCTCTTAAATCAGCAGGGTGCCGAAGTGGTAACATTGCATTTAGTACTGAGATAGAATATTGGGTCCAGCTGGGTGGATTTCGGTCTAATAATGGGGCCCAGACCACTTGGGTATGTGAATTTATGTCCTGCTCCACACACTCCATTCTTCCCCCAGCCCCAGAGCTGCCCACTTTACCCTATTGGAAAGGGAGCTACTCTTGGCTGTACTTCAAGCTCCTCTCACCCCAGCTTGGGACACCCAGAAGTCATTCTTTTGCAATGAATGTTCTGTATGCCTGACTTCTGTGGTCTACTTGTTCCTGCATACAGTGGGGCCAGAACTGGGTGCTTGATACAACTTGGGGTGATAAAATAGTGATGTAGGAAAAATTCTCCTGAATTATGTTTAGATTGTCATCTCCATCACTCCTTGTTAACAAGGATTTTTCTCCCAGGCCAGCACCTATCATGGTTCACAGTGTTCTCTCTGAGCTCTGTGTAGGTTTGGTGGATTGAGTCTGCCAAAAACTTTGTGTCAGAAGCCTGGTAGGCACATCAAGTAGGAACAACAAAGTGGGTTGGTTAAGAGTGGAAGAGGTTAAGGAGTACCCATTTCCTGCCAAGAGAATCTGGAAACAAAGGAGCAGCTGGGCCAGGAATTAGGGACCAGGTCTGTCCAGAGAAGGAAAATGGGTCCGAGACAGACAGGCTTCTCCTGGAGAATTGCAGCTAGGAAGGAATAAACAAGGCAGTGGCATCTGGAAATTACATCAAAATCAATCTAACTGCAACTGTTACAGATTTAAACATTTATTGATACCA